CCGGCCTGCCCCGGGCCCGGCGGCGATCGCGCTGCACGCTCCGAACACGTCCTTGACTGCCCGTACCTTTTTTACGTGCCAGAGGTGGACAGGTGTAAGTGTGGGGCTGTGCCCTTCCACTGTAGTGAGTTTCAAAACTACATTCTTTCACTGCTGCCTCACCACTATGCCCACTTAAAGATGATTTTGTAAATGTATTACAGTTTTAGTTACTATATGCTATTACTAATGAGTATTTCTTAAAAATATATGAATTTTGAGCTCCATCACCAATTTTTTTTTTTAATATAACTTATTCTGTACTGAGATCTCAACCCTTAAAGGCTGATTTTAGAAGCTGACCAATCCTATGCCTGTCCATTAGTTGGAAATCCCTTCAAGCACACGCAAAGGAGTCACAGTCACATACGAGGCCACAGATGCCAGGGTAAGAAGAAAGGCTCCAGTCTATATGATATTAACCTACTGATATGCAGGATAAAGGGTAATTTGGAACTAGAATAGTTCATGTAATCCAAAATTGTAAGAAGAAGTGTAACTATGCTAAGCAATTGTTTTTGCAGGTTCATAAAAGTGCAGGTTATAAAAAAATACAGTTTATTAGTTCTGGAAGATAACAAAATGTGGAAAAGGTATTTGCTGACTAGAAGAAAATTGCAGTCAAGAATTGAGCTTGCATGTCAAATCCTGACGAGTCCTGATCCAACTCACCGCACAGCCTGCTCATCTTTACTCCTAGATCTCAACCCCTTGCTTCTAGAGGACATGGGCAGGTTCAAGGCTTGGGGAGGCCACATGAGAGTCACAGCTAATATGTGGTCCTATGTGTAGCTGCTTGCCTTTTGAGGAGTGGGGTTGCTAAATGTTACTTGAATTTGATGACAACCAAAATGTGTTCTTGGTCCAGGTGAATCTGTAGGATTAGAATCTAAGTTCAAAGAAATGTTTTTGCTCTGTCCAGCAGTGCAAGTAGAAGCTGGTACAAAGACACCATCCATCTGTTAACTCTAAGATATGTAATTCAGTGGGCTATTTTTTAAAAAATTGGATAAGCATATATGCAGGCATAATATATATAATTTTTCACTATGCATGGAACACAGCTTGTAGACGACTTTTGTCTGTAACATACCAAATGCTTTCTCCTACTTGTTCTAAATTCAGACTTACAAATATAGGCACTGATGTTGAATCCTAGTCCCACTGAAGGCAGTGACAGAATTAATTTAGGTTTCAACAAGTTCAACATTTTTCTTTTTTAAAAAAATAAAGCAGCAGAAGGGAACGTTATAAAGAATGGCCCATTACTGCATTTTCATGCATTTAAAAGTTTAAGCAAGATACAAAACCATTATCCGAATTTATTTTCTGCTACTAAATGTAACATTTTCAAGTAGCTGTAAAAATCTGCCAAGCTTTGTCATATCAGTAACACAAATGAAATCCCAGCAACCTACATCAGCTGCCAATGTTGAATAGCATTGTTCATGATCCCTACTCATCACCCTTACAAACTTAAGGTCAGGAGCTTTATCAGGCTAATGGGAAAAAGATGAAGGGCTGTTTAAGGCTCCTTCATTCTCTTGAGCAAGAAGAGAAGGAACATCAGAAGCAGATGATTCAGTTCAGACACCCAGCTCTGCAGACTGCAGTAGGATTACATGAATCACACCTACCGAGCCTGAGCTTTCCGTTCGAGCTCGGATTACTCACACCGCCAACCCCAGGATTAACACAGGGCTAATTCCTTATGCATCACACTTTGTGCTAATGACCTTTCTTGCAGGGAAGAAGCCTTTGCAACTTCTCAATGTCAGACTAAGCTGCAGCAGAATTTCCCTGAAGTGCACCTCAGTAAACCAATGACCCAGTTAGATAAATTAGGAAGTTTGGCAGGAGCAAAACAACCAATGTTGTTTATATCACAGTAGCCATCTAATTTCTTAATAATTCAGTAATCAGAATGAATTACTAGAAAACATCCCTTAAGAAAAATTGGAAATCCTGGAGTTGACTGCAACATTCCACTTGCCTCTAAAGAAAGGTTGATGAAAGCCCAGTGATGGGTTGGACACTGCAATTGCAAAATTATAGTAGTCATCTACAATACAAAAAGGGTGAAACCTTGGAACCATGATGTGCCTTACTGTATGCAGATATTTGGCCAAGCTAAGCAGTATTGCTTTGTACAAAGAAAGAAGCAGAGCCAATTTTTTCACAGGAAACTAAGTCTGGCTTTATTTTGTACATCCCTAACTGCTCAGGTAGTTTTATGTCAAACTTCTAAATTACACAAACCTTTTGCCTATGGAGTTTAGCTATGTTATCTTCAGGTATTGGATATGGATCCACTATCAGGGCTGGGAGAAAGGTAGTGCTGGAGACCTAGCAGTTCTGAGCAGTCTTTGCACGATGAAATACCTGCTCATCCTACCTCAGCACTTCTGGGCACCTCCACCTGAGCTACCTTAGCTGCCCTGTTTACCAAGGAAGCTCTAGGATTCCTGTTTTATTGAGAAACACTTCTTTTGTACTCTAGGACCATGCTGTCTACATATGTGTGGCAAACCTGTTTGTACAAATACCTTCCACACGTTTTCCAGCATTTTGCAGAAGAAAGCCTGGAATCTTCAATATATCTCACATGAATAAGAAAAATTAAGAACCCAAACAATATTTTCCTGTCTTCCTTATATTTTGATTTTCTCATCTTCTGCCCTAAATTATTGTTCTAATGGGTGCCAAGCCAAATCAACCCCAAGGCAAATGGTCTTACGTGCTTTGACAGTGTGCTCTGCCCTCCATAAAGTGCCATCTGCCTGCTTATCTTTTGTCAGCTCAACTAATCCCATTTCTCTGAGAGACAAAAGAGGACAACTTTGCACATCACTGATTCTGCCTCTGCCTCCAGCCTGACCAACTTGTAGTTGATACTAAGAAATTTAACATATTCCATTTGTTAGTGACAGACGGACTCCTTAAAGCTAGTGACTATTTTACCCTTCATTTACATATAGATACAATTTACTAGTATAGACACAAGTATACAAGACACATTAATGCAGCTGTTTTCACAAATGGTCAAGCTAAATGAACGGTGTAACAGAACTTAATAAGCATTTTAACTGTTAGGTAACTAACGGTTTATTTAAGCAACTTGTTTGCAGGGGGTATCTACACAAGTGGTAGTCCTGCTTCCTCGGGTGTGGTCATGGCTTTGGGCAAACAGTCATTATAGGCTTGCTACTCACATTTGGAGGCCATCTCCCTTTCCTCTCAAGTCAGCTTTCTGTCTGGAGATAGGAACTGATTATCCTCTCCAAGTAACTTGTAGGTTGCAAATAAAGGGTTTATCAGATTAGCATTAGCATCGCTGACATTGTGACTTTAAGCCATCATGGCAATATAGAGTCATGGAAGCTGGAATTAGTTTCTGAAGGGGCAAAAGTACCAGTTCATACCAGTAGCAATGCCCATGTAGTTATATAGAATGGATGAAGTGCAGAGGAGGAGTTCTTGCCCTTGCCTCTGTCACCACCTATTTCGGAAGCAAAAGATCTTGAGCTTGCATTAACCCAGTCAGAAAGTATATCCAGGTGACAGCAAGGTAGAGCGTCCTGAATGTGAACTGCAGTGTTTTATTGCTGGAAAAATAGCTATTAATAACATATAAAATACAAATGAAGGCAGATCTTTTGACAGGCAGGTCACTTTTGATATGGATATGAAACAACACATCCTAAGAGCACCAATTTACATTACAAGACATCTTTCATCCCAAATCCTCGTCCTAGCCAAGTCCTCAAATCTCTCAAACAGCATATATTTGAGTGTGCCTCCAGGCCAGGCTCATGGAAGAGGACATCCCTAGACATTTCAGGGAGTGATGCCCCAATACACATATTTATAGTCATATACACTCTTTTTGCTGTTGAATGAAATAATACCCTTCCAGCAGTGGCAGAAGTTGAAGAGCCAGAACAGTACTTTATTGGAGGATAGATATATTGGAGCCAGCACTATCTCATCAACCTGCTACCTGAAAGACCAGGCTACCATTTTTAGTCATGTTTTAGATGGCGTCTATGAATTCAGAAGCAACTTATTGTCTTTCTCTGAAAATTCAGTTATGTGTAGAAAGTTTTTTTCACTTACTTTACTGAGTTGGGTGTCTGTGGCAGAATCTCACCACAACTGGTAGTGCTACTTTCGACTTTCATCCAGAAACTTGACAGATCAGAGTTCTCCAGAGGGACAGAGAGTTTTGAGGGGAGGTTCAGTGAGATCAGAAGTCTCAAAAGTGGAGTGTGGGAAGAAAATATGTAATACAATTTTTTGAAATAATAAAATTAAATAATAACTAAGCAAAAGTAAATAAACAGTATTAAAATAAAAAGGGAAATTAAAAAATTATAATGTAAAAAATATACTAGTACAGTAAAACAAGTATATAATTTATAAATTAATAAATTGAGGTCCATGCTTAAAATTTTTAAATGATGGGGTATGTGATGAAAAAGGTTTGGACAGTGAACTGGATTATCCCAAGGGGGCCCCTTCCACCCAACATTTCTATGTTACATTGTGTTTTCATATTAAGTCTATAAATCAATGTTTTATTAGTCCCATACTTGATTATATATAGCTATGTCAAATTAATAAGAATGTAGAGTTTTTACATTCTGGTTTCCACTTCAGACAAGTAGTCCCACATTAATAAAATCTTGCATTAATCAGAAAATCTTTCAAAACGGGAGCCAGTTGTTTTAGGTAATTTCTTCCTGTGAAGAACGAGAACTGTGCACCCTTAGCTGAACGTTAAGATAAAATACATTAAACACATCTGGGCCTTAAAAGAAATGCAAGGACACAGCATAGAAAACTGTAAACAAAAGAACAGCTGCATTCCAGTGTGTGTCAGACTCCATTCCACTGTGTGTCAGACTGCATTCCAGGGTGTAAACGAGCCGCCAGAAAAAAGCATTTCAAGGCTTCAGGTATTAAGGAACAAACTTTTAATACAAAGTATTTTAGAGAAGTTTACATGCTCTTTAAAGTGGTCTTAACTTATAAGATAGACATAACTAGTACAAAACTATGCTGTTTGTAGTAGGTTTGAAGTTAAGTTCTATATTAACTACAGCTTTCACTCAAGATATTCTTCGAAAGATGCCATAATATCTCTCTGCAGATTCACATCAATCAGCCAAGCCATCTGCAAGAAAGCAAATTAGTTTCTTTTCATAGCAATCAGACATTAATGAATATTACGGAGGTCAAATATTTAATAAGGATTTAAGAAAAAACTATAAGGCATTTTCTCAAAAAAGGTATGCCTTCTCTGTTATTACAAGTTTGAGTGTGCCTGCTGTTGAAGTCCTCTCATGACTTTTTAAGAAACATTTATTCTAAAAAAGGTAGCAATTAAAACCCATTCATTACCTACACCAATAGATAGAGTTAGTTTTAAAAAGGCTCAGGTTTGATATTTCAGACCAGAACAGTATGACTAGCACTTTTGTTGACATGGAGCATGTTAAAGAGGACAGACAGCTTGCAAGACTCAAGGTTTGAAACTATTTAGGAGGTATATATAATATTTTTATATTATATATTTATATAAAATATATAAATATTATATTAAAAGATCTATTTTAATATATTAATATAAAATATATATATTTAGATGGCATAAATAATATTTTATTATTTAAAGTTTTATTTTACCACACAATTATTCTAAGCTTATAGGAGTAATAGGACCAAGTGGATAGCTTTTCATAGTACATTGCTTGAACACATACTTTGAGTTTCCTATTCCATTTTCTGGACTAACTCTTCAGATAGTGTAGTTCTTTTGTTTTCAATTATTCAGGTCCTTTGAAATTAGGACCTGACCTAATAGTTGTTTATTCTCTCCTTGAGTTGAAAAAAAATCAGGTATCAGGAGTCAGCAACTTACTGCTTCTTTCCTCCTGCGTTCTTGTTCCATTTTTCTAGCCAAGTTCCGGTCTTGATCAAGAATATGTTGTTGAGCTTCGGGAAGTTCTTTGTCCTTATGCGTTTCTTCCTCAAGCTCACAGTCTGTCGCTGCCATGGCATTCAATCCTGTGCTTTCCTGGGCCCTTTAAAGACACGCAAAGAAATCAGTATAGGATAAAAATTATCCTTTTTCTTCATAACAACATTTTGCACCTGACAGAATTCTGCCAAATCTGTGCATAGCACTCAAGCTGTGGTTCTGTTCCATGTGTTGTTTCACAGTAATTTCCCTCCATAAGATGTATGTGCATGCAGTTTTTGGGCTGTAGTAGCTTCAGGTTTCCTGTGTCCCATTTCCAATCTCTACACATGTGGGATTTGAAGACACGCTACACAAAACTTACATAGACTGTCTTTGAAATTCTTAATTTTCTGTTACTTTCTTGGCCCCCAATGTTTTTCTTCTACCTTCTTCCTCCTCAAGTAGTTATTTGAGGTATATTTCACTAACTTCAGGCAAACACCTGTAAGGTCTTATTGCATAGAGCTACATGCCTGGGTTGCTCCTCATAGAAACCAGCTGAAGGTGCCTGGACTGCACAATATGTTGTAAACCAGGAGCATACTCTTAAGTCTCTCAAGTGCTCTGATTTGAGATATTTAGATATTAAATATTAAAATAATTAACTAAACAATTAACCTGTTCTAATACAGCCAGCAATGGGCAGGGGGCAGGAGAATTTAGGAACCAGTTCAAATTTATCTTTCACAGGGTCAAACAGACAAGAAAAAGAATCAATACTACTGAAGAGGGAAATATTAAAGAGTTTCCAAAAGGTGGCAAACAAAATTCAGGATATTATTGCAATGCAGTAATTAGTAGGCTGTCATTTATCCTGCTCAGCATAACCATAGACCTCAGACTGGGATACACAAATGGGCACTCCCTAAAAGAGGGGCTGCAAACCAACTAGGGAAGAAAGCTACAGCAGGGATTTATGTAATATGCTTCTCTACAGCAGTGCAAAGAACTCTGCTGCCCACAGTGGTGTGCACTGGAACCCCATGTTAATACCATGTTCTTGAAGACTAGATTATCCTCTATCCCATTAGGATAGCAGTAAGATGAGAATATTCCTGGCTACAGGTATAGGAGAAATAAAATATTGAGGACAAATGTGAATTCTGGTCATGACCAGAGGAAGTCAGTGTTCTAGGGGACAAAAAACTCCCACCCTAACACCCAAACAAAAAACAAATCCCTCCCCCCTTACCTCCCCCAAATCCAAACCAAAACAGAAAACAAACTAACAACAATAACAACAAAACAAATTCCCAAGAAGTTTCTTTGACTGCTGAAATAATACTCATTTGATGGGCCAAGCTGCTTTATGCATTTTGGATGTGCAGTTGTGCTCAGAGTGGTACAGCTCCCTGGCTTCATCTGATGTGTGGCCATTACCTAACCCAAAACACTTGTTCCTGAAGAACTAACCCACCCAGTACCATACAAGCAAAAACCAGAATAATATTTAAATACACGTTACAAACCTTTTTTTTCCCTGTGGAATGTTTTGCAGTTCCATCTCAGATTGCACCAGAGGCCTTTTTACCTCCGGCACTTGCCCACTCTTCTTTAACACTGCTTCCCTGAACTGTTTGAAGCTCTCAGCAGATGCTTTTATTGGAGCTGGAAGCTTCATTGCTTTACACAGGCTTATCCAGGAATCTATATTCTTAAATCCTGCATCCTGAAGTTATTAGAAAAAGGAAAACACAGCAGAGGCAAATATATGGTACAACTACTAACATCCATTACCTGCTTAGTTCTTACATTAGAACAACATATTTTAACTGGCTCTATTTGGAAATATCTACGACAAAATATCCATCCTTTGGTATGACAGGAGTGCAAATACAACAGTCTGAACAGACTCAGATATATTTTCTCATCCACTCTGAGATTCCTTAGCAATATGCTAAAAATTGTTAGCATTTGTATCTATTCTTATGCTTTAAATCTGCCTCTTTTTTTCGTTTCAGAAAACAGGAATTCACAAGGCTGAGTTTAAAACAAGGTCCATTGACAGTGTTTTAATACTGAAAACATCCACCTGATCTCTATATGTAATCCTCATGTAACAATAGTTTTGCATTAGGCTTGTGGGTTTTGTTTGTTTTAAATACCCATGTTACCCCCATTTCCCCTGTGGCATTTTCTTCACAGCAGAAAATAGCAGAAAGCCACTATTGTTAAGAAATCCTGCTTCTAGTAGAAGGTCATGTGTTTGCAAAAGAAAAACATATTTTTGGAATTGAATTCAGTATGTTAGTTAATAGCTTTCTGAGAGCTAAATGCCTAAAGAAAAAATATAGAAACCTTTTAGCTTAACAGATTATAGAGAAAACTTTTTAGGCCCATTAGCTAACATGACTGTTATTAGTAATTTTGATTTAATGTTTTCAAATAGCTGATTACCAGAGAAGAATTTAACAGATAAGAAAATTTCTGTCCCTCCACTTAAGATAACTTAAACGGTATGCTAAGAAATATTTTGTTTAACTTTCATAAATACCTTCAGTCAGTAAAAGTACTTCAGAACAGGTTTTCCAATAGTACCCAAGACTATATTCCACACTACTCTTATTAGTTACTGGATCAGCAAGGGAAAGCACACTAATAACTTAAATATGAGAACTAGATAATATTAAAACTAAATGAAACATGGCATAATTTTATATGACAATATGGATATATTATTTTTTATATATACGCATATATATATCATGTACCTTCTGGAATGACCAGAGTCTATAGATTTGTTTGGGTTTAGCACTAAAAATCAGATAAATCTGTACAGATTATAACGATGCCTGAGACCTATCATACACTAAATATTCTAATTGTAAAAGAACAGATTTTTAGAGAAGATCCCAAGTCAGGAAGTTACTCAGCCTAGTACATAAATACACCCACCTCTCAAACAGAACTTGATCAGCACACTTACCTTTTTTGGAAGAAGTTCAGATTTTGGCTCTAGTATGTTTTTATCGTTAGGTTTATCATCAGGTGTATAATGACCTGATGGAAGAAAAAAAAGGGTTTTCACTCATGTTGATTTTATGGATAAACTTCCCTCAAACTTAAATGATAAAACTTAAGTCATTCAAGGAACTGACTTACAAACTTACACTGCAGTTTACTATTACTAGATTCAGAATGACAGAAATTCTCCCAAACATTTCCTAAGCTTAAGGTGAACTGGACCACTTCTCTCCACTTTTGGGCAGGGAAAGGAATAGTTAGCTTAGCTGTAGATGAGAAATTAAATCCTGTTTGATTCTAGGAGAGATCCCAGTGGAATGCCCAAGAAGTTTGGTCAGAAAGTCTCAACGCAGCACTTTGCCACTTACTCACTTCGTCCCCTTTCCCTCCCAACCCTCTTTCCCTTTGATTCCAGCATTATTTAAGGGTACCTCATTCATTATGTAAACTCATTTTGCCTAAAGCTCTCAACCCTATTTACTTTTTCCAGGTTCTTTTAAATAAAGCAAATAGGTCAGGCAGCAAGGGCTAGTCATCACATTTGCAGTAGCCTAGAGGATGCATAAAGGCTCCATGCTGTTACCTCCTTATTATTTGAGGGGAAAAAACCCAAGCACTTTTTCAAACCAGATATAAACACCGCAGATATTTAATGTCATTCAGCAGTGATCCTCTACTGCAGTTTGAGATGTTTCAGTATTTAAGTAAATGCTTAATAAGAAACTTAAGGTAACACCTCGGCATATTTTTATTATGCAAAGGAGAAGTCTTTGGATGTTTAGATCCAGAATTCTGAAGGCAAAGCATCAAATCCTCACTCAGTTTGTCATAAATGGTATTTTCAGAAAGACCTCACAGCCTCAAAACTTCTTAATTGAAAATGATTAACTAAAGCCACAGATCCCGTGGAGCTGCTGCAAGTTTGAACAAAGTGGGGGGCAGTACATGCATGGCTTGGTGTGTTAAGATCAGGAAAATGCTGAAGAGAACACCATGGAAAATTAAGTCTCCAGTTTTAGAACTCTTTTAATACAATTCAAATAATTAGCATTATTCTTTGGCAAAAATTAAAGATTTCATCAGTGAGCAGGCTGTGCCTTTTAATTCATCATTTTCAGAAGCTTCTTGCCTCCCCTGTTTAAACCTATAGAGGTAGGCTAGAGGGCAAAGAGTAAAGGAGGAACCAAAACAATCACCTCTGGTAACATTGGACTCACAGCATGGATATTCAGTTCAATTCTTTAGTTCAAAAGATGTATGAAGTATAGAATGCAGCTTTGAGAGGGCCTGTGTTCTTGTAGTAATTGCAAGTTTGTTTCATGATGAAAGTCTCTTTGACATTAATTTACTGTCAGACCCTTGTCACCAAAAGCCAGAGAACTCAAAATACTCCACAAAGCTCCAGCAGAAGATATTTTAAAGGCCAGTGAAGTTCAACAGATTGGAGCAGCAGTTCTCAGACTTCCTTCCATTAGTACTATCCCTAGTACTAAATTTGTACATCAAAAAGGAATTTGCTTTATACATTTTAACAGAGAACAAAAACCAAACATCCATTTAACTTTTTTTTTTTTTAAAGCAGCAAATCAAAACAAAAGAGCAAGGGAAAACATCACACCCTCCATTATTCTGGATTATTACAGATTGTAATTTGTTTGTACAGATTGTACAAACTAATTAAGGTACAAGTTCTTGGCATTTTATTTCTTTAAACCAGGTTCATATACATTTGTAACTTTGTACCCCAGATTTCAATTACAGTTTTTATTATGACACTACATACTTTGTTTTTGACTTATGGATATTGAATCAGGAGTTCTCACACTGGCCTTGTTTTGAAGTTTATTTGATTTGTCTAGATGCCTTGTTTGCTCAGCTTGTTTACTCCAGTCAGCACTGTCAACCTGGGAAATTGTGTTGGATACCTAGAAGAGAAGCCAGACTTCAAAATATGTTCTTCAAAATGTGTGTTTAGCACATGTGGATTCTTATTACACAGCATCGGGATTAAATGTTTAGAAGTTTAGAGCAGTACATTGGTGCAGCTCCAGCTCCTGTAAACAGCAGGAAAGAATTAGATTTCGTTCACATTATGGTAACCAAAGTAAGTTCATATAGCAACTCTTTGGTTTTAGAATCTGTTCTACTCAGCCCTCCTGAGTGATGGAGCAGGTAGAGCATGAGAAACTGATACAAGCTCTTTAACCCCTAACACAGTACAACAGAATGAAGTTGTCACAAAGCCAGTGCTGCATTCTAGCTTGTGGGTCAGTTCAGGGTATTTCTGCCTCTGTGGGGTAATCCCTTGAACTGAGGTGTTGCAGAAACCTGAGTCCTGGTATACACCACTTCTACCTTGGACAGTGGACACCAATGGAAAAGAGTGAGCTGCTTTTCTTCCTTACTTACAGGCACATTCTTGTGCTCATAAATTCAAGAGGTGGTTTTTATTAATTTCTGAAAACAAAAGCTACTACAGCCTGGATAAAGCAGCTAAATTTTCAACCATGTTGAGAAAGACCATTAAACACCTTAAGATGGAAGAGATCATGCTGCAGTAACATCAGGAACTCCCTTTGTTACACGGAGGCCCTTCTAACCAGGATACTCTCCAAGAATGTATTGAGATAGATGTTAACAGTAAGTAAATATTTCACACCTCATCTAGACCCTGAAAGCCCCAGTTTCCATAGCTTTAAGAGAAGGAATAAAAACCAACACCCTTTTACAGTATAACCTCTAGAACCTTCATAGTATTACTGAGTTTGTAAAATTGGTATTTCCGGAAAACTAAAACATGTATTATAAGCTGCCTATCTGTTTTGTGAAGCTGTAGGTTTGCAGGGTGGACTTTTAGCCTGTAAGCGTGCAAGGGTTACTTAAGTCCAAGCTATAGCCTTGAAAGGAAATAAAGTAAGCTTTATAGTACATCATAAACTTGATTGGCCAAACTTTCCTTATGTGTTGCAGCCAACAGGCAATGAAATAATGCCTGTTAAATGATAAGAATCACTTCATTGGTAGGGTTTTAGAAAACTTTCATTCCAAACTTAAAATGGCCTTCATCACATCACACTCAAGCCTGAAGTACTATATTATATCTTATTTAAAGAAGTAAGAACATGCTTTACAGACATTATTTAAAATGAATTCATTGGAGAGAAGCACATACTCACCTCTGGAAGAGCATGTCTGGACTGAGTGACAAAAGCCCGATTTGTCTTTGGAGTACTCTGAGGAGTTTGCTGGTCTGGAGCATCATACGGAGCACAAACAGCCGAGATTACACCTGAGAAAGAAGTAGGGTATGATTTTTCCCTATCATGCAAAGTGCAGTCCTACCTCTCAAAATTAGGTCACTGTTTAGATCTGTGGATTAACTTGGTACGAAGATATGTATCCTAGCTGCACAATTTAAGAGTTATTTTTAATCAGGTTTTAATTGACTTTTCAGTTAATCAGCTACCAGCTCAAGCTGTCTTTTACCAAAACCTCAGAAGTGTCTGATGTTATTAGAGCTTTTGAAATGAGGGAGGGAAAAGAAAAGCTCCTTGGATCAAGTTCCTAAGCAACTTCATGTATTTGATATGTCTAGACAACAGCAATCAATTCAGAGGACCTATGGCACCAAGTCTTAAATTCAGCTAATAGGCATTTCAGACATGAACTTGAGTAGTGGTGATGGGTTTAAGCATCTAATTCCTGCCTTAAGGTGTTCAGCATTTCCTGTAACTCTAGGTTCATTAAGGTATCCTTTTCCATCTGAACACCTCCTTCTGTTTGAATACTACTCTGTCCCACCTCAACTGCCTAGTAATCTGAAACTCTAGCCAGTTCTCAGTGCTACCATGCTTTAACAAATCATATCATGCTCTTTGTAATCTGTACCCTGCAAGAATTTTTTCTCATATCCACTTGATAGCCTCCAAAATTCCAAGACAAACTTGCTGGGCAATACAAGCATCCTGGCACCCATTCTCCCCTCAGGGGTCAAATAGAGCCATAAAGGTGTTACCTGAGGGAGAGAAGGCATTTTGTTCTGGTGGCTTAAGTGATCTGTTCTGTAAGGGCTGGAGCCTCTGCTGTACATTGGGAGGTGGCTGCTGCAGCTCAGATGATCCACGATTTTGCAAGCTACTTGTAACAGATGAGGGCTGTGCTTGCACAACAGCACTGCAGGATGTCCTCGGTGAACAAAGTGGTATTCTCTGTAAAGAGGTTATAGTAGTTAATACAGCCAAATCTTTTTTTTTTTTTTAATAGTGTTTTGATCCCCTTTCCCCACCACTGCTCCCATTTCCATTGTTTATCAGATTCAGTAGTCCTTGTATTGTAATAGTAATCCAACATTTTTTAAAGAGTTTAGATGACAAAGAGACATGAGGTAAAATGCACTTACTACCTGGGCTGACAGATACAGAAAACCCCAGAGAACAAAGTGTAATGTGAGGATTTGAAGTATGATTTTTGTTGTTACTCAAGTCAGTTAGGGGCTTTTACAACTGACCAAGCTGAAGCTTATTTCTTGGATCCTGTTTTCTCAAGTTTATTGCTGTCATTCTTTCACTGCAGAGGCTGCTCTTCTTAAGCAAAAAAAGTGTGTTGCATAATTTCTCTCCTCAGTCTTTGCTTATGAAGATGTAGAAGGAGCAGCTGAATAATAAATTTGCAGCCTAGTTTCCTGTACTTTAAGGGAAAGCAAACCTACTGCAAAAAGAATGAAGGCTTTGCTGTGATCTTGCTTTGAAATTCAAGGTCTGTCTCTGGCAGCTTGAAGAGAAATTGTAAAAGGCAGTTAACCCTGACAATAAATAACACCCACTGCGTATACAGGAATAGAGCAATTCAGTGTAAGAGGCATTAAAAATTATTTCTGGATAAAACTGCTGATAGTTATAATAATACCATAGTAATAAGCAATATTAAAGTATCCTGAAAATAAGTGATATATTGTAAAACTTATTTATTTTTGGATGTAGATGTGAGGGTGTTCATAGAGAAAGAAAAAACATTTGAGTAGGGCTTGCACTTTTTGTTGGCTCATGTATACTCAAAGATCAATTTGGAGAGGATTTGGCTTTTTTGGGGGTGTGTGGGGAGCATTCTCCCTCTCTCCTTCACCCAAGACATAATGACCACAATGATTATAAAAAAAAAGCCTCAGGAGTTCTCCCATGACATCAGTTTATACTCAGATGCATAAGCTACTTTAAAAAAACAGCAGATGCAACATCTTCATGTAACTCAGTCCTAACAGAACATGCAACATTCAAGTCATATTTGTTACTTCCTGATAAAGTTGTGTCGTTTCCAATACCACTGTATGTTAAATTTGTTTAGGGCAAAAATATTACATCCATTCCAGTCAGTTTACCTTAGGCTTTTCCATAGAAGCTGGACAATTCTGCCTGGCTCCAGTTTGTTTTGAACAGGTTTCTGTAGCTGTAAATACAGGGAGGTGGGCAGAAAGAAGAGGATGGAAAAAACCAAATCAGTCATTCACATATGTTTCGTTATTCACATAGACAAGGTGTGATTTGCAGTTGTACCCAGAGAGCCAAGCCTCACAGTGAAAGGAACATTCTTGAACATTTTGACTTTAGCTTCATGTGTTTAAAGAACTTCTCCCAGATATAAAAACACCACAAAGATTCCTGGGGGATCAAGGTCTTTGCTGCCATTGACTTCACTGTATTTGCCTCCCCACACTACAGAGGTTTGAGCATTCATCTCACCTTATTCCTCGCTCAGATATCTACATTGTAGACCTTCAGTTTGGCAGATCTGTTCTGTCCTAGAAAACTAAAGGGAGTTTTGTGTACAAGTTTGAGACAGCTTAAGCACCTGGGTGGACTTTGGCTCTACAGTCAATGCTGTTGGCATTTGTGTTTCTCAGCTTAGGGACTGTCTTACCCTAGGGTAAGGCATCCTGCAGACCAGAAGGTGAAAGTAAAGTGAATCACACTTTCAAAACCAAATCAAAACTATAAGAGTAAGCTATTGCCCAATAGTCACGTGTCCAGGTTAGATACGCAGACCTTTTGCTAGCTTATTTTGGTCTCTAAAGATTTTCACTGGTAAGTTGAATTGACATTGCAGTAAGTTTTGTTTGTTTTGTCATTTGTTTTTGTTTTGTTTTTACCTACAAACTCAGTATTAAGACATGGATTTAGCAGCACTGTAATTGAGCCTTCAAAGCAGAGCAAACCTACAAGGATAACTAAAATTGTCAGTAAGCATGTGGAACAGTAAATGCTGACTGAGAGGGCAGATGTTTTGCCTGCAAACACAAAATAAGCTTTCTGACCTGATTCAGAGTCACTGCTATCTGAGGAGCTAGAACCACTGCTAGTGCTGCTGCCAGAATCTGAGGAGCTGCTGCTGTCACTCAGTCTGCTTGGTCCAGTACTAGACTCAGTGCTGTTTTCAACTGCAGGAGAAAAAGAAAGAATCAGAACGACCTGCATTCTTCATACACAAGACTAGGATCAACCTTGTTAGGTCTATTCTCCCATGTTACAGTTCATCTTAGTTCTAACTTCCTTGTCCATTGTCCATTTAGCATTGGACTTGAAAAAAAAAGGCCTCCCTCTACAGAGGAGATGAGGGAGATTTACCAGCAGCATGCTAGTTGAACGACTGAAATATCCAGGGAGGAGTTGTAGTCACATGATTTCCAATCCTCAAGTAGGTTAAAACTATGCTGTCTTGTGACACAATTCAAGCAATTTTCCCCCATAAGCTTTCCTGCTGTTAAGAGCCTGTTTATGTGCTTGTTGTTGCTGCTGTTAGAGTTGCATGCTGAGGTGTTTATCTACAGCCAACTCTTCTTTCCCAAGCCACGTGTACTCCAGAATTGCTGTCTTTTGCCACCTCCCCACCATCTGACTATTTTGCATTGGCAGGGTTGATTTAACTCAGTTTATAGGGCTTTTGCAGTCAAAGCTTTTTCCAAGTTGTTGCTCTGATGGAAGCTTTGCAAATGAGAAGTTACATGGAAACCTGTTTCCCTGGACACGAATCTTTGTTAAATGCCAGATCAAGCTCTCGTAAACAAGCTAGATGCCAGCTGTAAAGATTCCCCAGCCTGCCTCTTCCCTCTCCCCACAACAGGTACTTCCCAATTCAATGGATTTCAGCTGCTTCTTTAAGCTTTTCTTTTTAGACTGTTTTCAAGCCATTATGTATACCAGACAGGAAGACCTGACTGAGCTAATGCTAATGCTGGATGCAAGCCTGTGTCTTGCAGGGATGCTTCCATCACTTCAGCTAACTGGTTTTACACAGGAGCTAAATAGATATCCAATGGAGGGCAATAATAGCACTCAGTGGTTTAATGAGGAACAGCTTGACCTATAATAGTAGCATCAGCTGCATTGATCCATTCTCAGCCCCTGATGAGAACCACCCGTAAGTGTACAGCTCAAGTGTGTACTAAATTTCTGGCTTTGATCTCAGAACTCATTACTGCCTGAAAAACCTGAATTGATTCTCCTAGGATGCTTCCTTAAGCCTAAGGTAACACAGACACCTGTCACTGACACGGAAATTTCACTCGTGTGACACATTAGTGAGACTGCCATCTAACAAGCATAACTAGAGTTGGTTATTCTTGAGTCTCTAAACTACAGAAATTGAATTATGAACAAAGAGACTGTGTGACCCTCCACACTCCCCATCATGTTTTCATTTGTCAACATAAAGGAGTTCAGTGTTGCTTAAGTTCTGAAGCTGTTACCACCTTTACCTGTAATGAAGTATTAGATGCAGTAATAAGGAAGATGGTTTAGACAGGACAAGTAACTGACCAAATTTGCTGCTGTGACTCCAGCTCACTCAACTTAGCAACAATCTTAAGACTAGCAATGGGAAGTTTAAGGCCCCAGCTATTCTGAGGAGAAAGTCCCCAGCTGCATAACAGCACTTAAGCCCAAGGGAAGAATTCCACTTTAAGCTATTTCCATTCCATATGAGTAGAAGAGACACATTACATTTGCCGTTCTTCTTTGGGTTTAGTTGACCACTGGCATCCAGTAGTTTCTTCTCTAGCTCTTGTTTCCTCTCAGAATCAAGTTGTTCTTTTGACTTTGTTGGTTTTTTAGCTGCATGTGAAACAGAAGTTAATATGGAAGCAAACAACAAAAATCTGGTGGGTTTTTTTTAAGCTTCATTTCCACTACATACCCCGCTGCTTTCTTTGTCTCTTCCTCAAACAGGTTGCCACATATTTCTCTAGTTCTCTGAGTGTTGAAGCATTTAAAGTTTCAAAGTCTATTTCTATCTCATCAGGGTTGGAGTTCCTCAGTGCAGGTTCTCTTGACTGGATTATATGGACTACTTTCCCAAGCTTATCTCCAGGGAGTTTATTTATGTCCAAACTCAACTGTCGTTTTTCATCATAATTCATAGGCTTGGCAGCATCTTCATCTTCTGATTTATGTGGCAACAAGACCTGCTGCATGGTTTTCTTTGATTGACTGCAGGAAAAAAGTATACTGCAGTAACAACAGTTTAAAATAATTAGACACCCACACAAATCCCTCACACTTACATGTTTAAGGAGAGTTTTTTCTTAGATTTCTTCTTGTGTTTCAGATTTTTCTTCTTTTGAATCAAGCTTTTTATTTTAGCTTTTTCCTTGTTCTTTCTTTTCTCATTTTTAGCCTTCCCTTTTTTCTTTTCTGGTCTAGATAAACATGCTTTGGTCAAAACCCACAACTGCTGGTGAAGAGCTTTAAGCTATCAAAAGAAAAAAAAAAAAAAAAGCTGATCATTTTGGGTATTGTAGGAGGAACAATGAGCTGGTCTTAAATATCACAGGCTATTTGTGGGCAGCTGAGTGGATATTAATAGAATATTTGGCTTTCCAAATGAGATTTATTTTCCAAACATCTTACTATATTGTAGCTTAGTCACAGGTTATCCACCTGGAAGATGTAGGGCTACTTATTTTATGCAGACATTTCTAGCACATGTGTTTTCTAACATTCTGTCAAGAGTGGAAAAAAAGCCAAAGGAAAGGAAAAAAAATCACTCTAGGAGCTTCCAGCAGCCTCTTTAATTTCAAGCACTTGGGATGCACTTAATAGGTTCTATCTCTTACAGCACTGACAAATTAGGCTAATGGGACTGGGCTCTTGCATCTTAATTTGCAATATAAGATAGCTAGTTAGGACATACTAAGAATTTAGGAGAAAAACTTAACACAACTTTGTTTAAATCTTGGGACTTGGAAGATGGTCAGGTGATGAGAATTAGAATTCAGTCGTACTGAACTGCTATTGCAAAGGCTGGCTTGTACACTTGCTTTTCCTCCTGCTTACATTTGTAAGTTGATGATATAGCTGCTCATCTGACAAGTACTGAAAACAGAACAAATGCTAATTTTCCCCAGAGTTTTTAGATACAGAAGCAACAGGTTAAAATGTTATGTTCAAGCAGAAGCAAGACCCATCCCCCTCTTAATATGAAGCATGGCTTTGCTTCACTGGTTAGCAGGAGATTCCTTCTGTTCTCTCATACTGAGCTTTCTCAAGTAGAATTTAATGACTTGCTTTTGTGTGGCTCAGGAGAGACAGGGGGTAAGACAGAGCTCTTCACCATATGAAAGAAATGCCCCTGCTGGAAGAATATGCCCCTAAGCTACGTGTGGAGTGTCTGGAGGCTCTCATCATACCACAGGAACAGGTTTATTTTTTTAAAAGTTTGAGAGTCATCTGAAGAAATGGTAGGCAAGAGGAGTAGAACAATTATTCACTAAACCCACTTGGTATTTGCTGAGGTACTATTCTTAACTTTTGGTGGTGCTTCCAAAGAGGAAATAAATTACTAGGTTCTCTTAAAAACTGATCTTTGGTGCTAAGCTTTAAAATGGAAAAATCTAAGTGGCACTGTCAGATAGATCTTAAGTTATGCACATTAAGTACTAATGCTCACTTGTTCCTGAAGCTTTGCAAAGTGCACTCTTTTTTCCTCTTCAGAATCTTCAGATGATTTTTCTTCTGAAGAATCATCATTACTACTTTCACTGGAATAAGCTTCTGTCATTTCTCTCCCAGGTGGCAGATGAGCACTTGCAACAGGTTCATCAGGAATTTTGGCAAAGTGCATTTCGAAAACATCCTGAAGAGTTAAGTTTGGGAACAGCATACTTTTCAGATTTCTAAAAGCATTACAAAGTTACTACTTGTTCTCTAGAACTACATAGCAACACAGTAGTTCAGTAACATTAGCAGATTCTACATCAGGGCATGAAATGACCTACTCTTTTTCAAATCTGACTTAAGAGATAACTCACCTGAAGTTTTCTTGCCATGGCAACTATTTCATGATCTGGAGAATTATGTTTGTAGCAGCTCATGAACATTAATCTAACATCTGTAGCAAATTCTTGTATGTCACTATATTCAAAGTTATCCATTTTCTTCTACAGGAAAAGAAAAATATTGCATGTTTAGTAGAGAGCATTACCATGAACTGGCACAAAAAGAGGAGGTACAAGACACACAGATTCAGGTTCAGCTTGTATCAAGACACTAAATATTGTAAAAAAAAAATTATGGAAAGACCTGCTTCTCACTTCAACACTGTCCTTTTAAAAGAAATGGTTTTTTTCCTCTTTTAAACAGATTTATTAATTGTAATTGCTGTAAGGACTTTGTAGTACTAGTTTCAGCACTAGGTTGAGACAATGTCTGGGTGACTCTATTTGGTTATGTTCTCAACGCCTGTTTTTGATTCTAAGCATGGTATTTACGCAAAGCTTGTTCCATAATAGCTGGAGTCAAACTAATGGGCTAGAAACTGGGAAATAACCTTTATATTGGTCAAGCCAGTTTTCAAGGTAATTTAGTAAACTTTTAAAATTCAACATCCCCCCCCCAAAAAAAAAAAAAAAAAGAAAAAAAGAAAAAGTGGAGCTTAACTGGGTTATACTTTAACCCCATAGAGATATACCCAGTGTTCACAGAACACTGTCCACATATCTCCATCTAGAAGGGTTGCTTTTCACAAAAAAGGGTGAAAAGTGTCACAAATATCCAGTGCTGAGATTTCAGGGCACTTCACCAAGGATACCAAGATTCAGAGAGAAGCAAATGTTGATATAATAGAACTGCATTTTGTTTTATGGGCCATTAACAACAGCGCTGTATATACAAACAGGGATATTTAAGGTGCAGCTTCCCTCACTCCTTATATTAAGCTTGTTCACTGGGTAAGTAAATTAGCCACTATGTGCATAGCAACGAGAGTTAAACGTTCTTCAGTGACCTGTGGCTAAGTTTGAGACACGTAAGTGCATCTGGATTCTCTGCCCATTATTTCTTCCAAAGGAGAAGCAACTTCCATGACACCTTTTCAGCTAACACATTTAAAATCTTGTAATTGCACAAGTTATTCAAGCAGGCACACAAACAGTCTAATTTCCCCAGAAACACTTACTTTAATGGTTCTTAGGTCTGTAGGACATTTGGCAATGCCTTGGTTCTCACCAGTGGAGAAAGATGCCACATCTACAGGTTTTAAGAAAGGCCACGCATATGCTGCATGTTTCTTTGAAAACATTTCTTTAAGTATTGCATTACAATGTTTTAGTTTTTCTGGCAACTGAATCTTTTTAATAATTCCAGGTGACTGTTGAGAGTGTGGCAAGGATCTCTTCAGAAGCTTATTTGTTACCATACGTTCATTTTCACCTCTGCATGCTTTAACAGCTTTTCTTTCATTACATATTGCAGAAGATTCACCACTTGTTGTGACTACTGAAGTAGTAGGAGTTGTAGTGTCAGCCTTCCTTTTCACACCTTTTTTTGCCTAGGAAAAGAAAACACATACAGGTGTCCAGAACAGTGAGAGAATGGTCAGTTTTCACTGTTTTCATTTTTACACGCAAAAAGAATAATCTAAAAAATGTCAGAACTTTGACAGCTACTGAAGTCAGAGCAGAATGTGGCACTTACACATGTTTAGACTGGAAACCTACAAGTTATTACAAGATCAGTACACCAAGCTCAACCTTAGATTTAAAGGAAAGAATGGGATGTACTGCAGGGTGAGGTTGTGGTCAGTTTTTAGCCATTCAAGAGGATTCCAGGAAGTTGGTAGGTTATGAAGTTACCCACAAGCTGACTGCAACACAAAGGGGTAAAAATACTGCTATTTATTTTAGGCCTGGTTGAGGGCTTTATGTACAAGGCTTATCTTTATTTTTCTTTAACCTGCGTAGCATTTGGTTTGAAAGCAATACAATATGTCCTTTGTCATCGGTGTTCAGAGTGTTCTTGAGTGAAGTGTATGTGCTGTAAGAGAGGCTGGCACAAGTGCCTATTCCTCTTTGGAAGAGCAAAACAAAACCAAGTCAATACAAGAGAGTTTTTCTGATGAAAGTGTCAGATGTTCACATACAATTAAGATTGCAGTTAACAGGAATTTGCTTTTGTGAGCTACAAACATCTTCCAGACTGGTTACTTAGTGTTTAAGCGAACATGCTATTTTTGGAGAATCAAGCATTTGATTTACATAGAAAACATGAAAACTTATTAAATAGAGCTTTATTTTAGTACTCAAAGCATTATCCTCCAAGTAGCCTCATCATTTCCTCAAGGAAAGAACAGTTCCTGCATCAAGGAGAAGCCTGCAGAAGTGTAGTAATACTCCTCAAAAATGACCATTTTAATGACCATTTTGTTTCTTTGAGAACAATATTTTAAAACCACATTTATAAGAAAAATGTACCAAGCAGTCATCCCAATTTCTGCTTAGTTTCTCAAATTAGTACTGGCCCAGTTATTTAGCAGAGAGCTAGAAGACTTAATAGAGATTTTTTTGATGTTTTCTATCACAATAGAAGTTTTGAAAAGATATTGCAATAAGCGTGGCTCCTAAGGTTTTGCTGTTAACGCCTGAAGGAGCAATTTCAATATCTTTCTTTCTGGAAGTTATTTGAGGAAACTTACTTTTGTTATAGGGACTGCAGCTGGCATTAACACACTCGGCTGGGCTGCAGACAAAGGAGCCAGTGGAACCTGCTGTCGCTCTTGAGTCATCACTGGAGGCTGCTCAGCGCTTTCAACTTGGCTCTGGTTTATGCTTCGTTCATTTGAAGTCCCAGGGATGGGCTGCTGTGTTCCTGGTTATTTTAATACAGGAAATTTTAAAAGTTAGATATTAAATGTTGCAGCTAATTTCTTTCATGGTCAAATTGAACAGTTGTCAACAACCACTCGTCCATACACAAGTGGTACAAATAAATACAAACAAGAGCAGTTGTTGCTTATAGCAACGTTGGTATCCTCCTGAGCACTGTTAGTGCCTCAGCTAGAACACTGTACCGAGGTCCACATTCTTTGGCTTCAAGAAAGCTGTGGATGAATCTCAGACAGAAGATTAAAGAGGCATCATACTATACACTGTATATCATAAAAACATCCTTGCCAAGAAGAGAATCAAGTCCTTTCCTACGAACATATTAAAGACCAAGCAGCAAAAGGTACAAGCTGCATCATGAAGGTTCAAGTTCCCTGAGCATAGCTAATACCTGCATATATTGGTTAGCAGTATTACAGCCCTCCAGCACTGATCTGAGAACAGTTTAGACCAGTGTTTTCTGTATTTGCTTTGGCTGGTTAGATTACTAATGTCTTTTCCAGCTGTTATTCTGTTTAGTTCCCATAGATGTTCACACTTATTAGTTTATGTAACACAACACAGAACAGCACTATGACATTCTCTGAAATGGAAGTCAGTTGCCTTTTTAAAAAAATATGAATCTTCTAAAGCCTTATAGCAGTATCGTTACTTGTGTGATTATTCCGGAAAGAGTAAAAAAAACCCATCTGCTCAAAGGTTGAGTTGTGACAAAAAGGATTCCCTGTTTCCAGCTTTTGCTTGCTTGATATTTTTACAATTCAGCATATAACACAGGCCTTACCTTCTGGCTTATTTCCTTTTTTCTTTCCTTTATTGAGACTCACTACTCTTTCTTCTGATGGCATTTGGGCTATTTTCTGCATAAAGACTTTTTCTAGTTCTTCAGCCATAAACACAATGTCATCACCTGGCTGCAAAAGAGGATCAGTAACACTCAGGAAAGGAGAGACTGCAGTAGTGAGGGCTACCTCGTAAAATAACCAGACTACAGAATCCTGCTCCAACAGATTGAAGAAAGCCACCAGTACCAGAGAGCTCTGGAAGCCCTTGCCATCCCTGCCCCCACAATTCACTTTAAACCAAATTACTTCGCTATTGAAATACTTTTTCTCCCGATGTCCCACTGCACAGTCCTTTTTTCCCTCCCCACACTTCTACAGCAAAGGGAAAAGGGGGCAGATCTGCAACTCCCTTATTCACTATTATGTCCTGTGAAGCTGTTGAAGCTCAAAGATACTGAGACACAGCCAGCAAACATCCAAGCACAGGGAGATGCTCACACTTCATTAGGTAAAACTTATGGGAGGAACAGAGCATGGCTCATGGGCACTGGTGTTCAACTTGTCCAGGAGTTACACAGCACCTGCTGTTTGAGCTGTGCAGCTCTAACCCAGAGGTTTGGGAGGTGGAATCCTTGTACAGCATTCAGTTGTTGTAACAGCAAGGGAGACTTGACTTAACATGCCTTCAGTCAATCCTAGCAAAAGAGCCTCCCCTCCTTTCAGAGAAAATAGTTTTAAAAAAAATCATGAAGACATTGACTCAGTGCAAGTTCTAATAACCATTTGCTTGTTTTAGACCTGTTTGGATTGTTCAATAGAATCAGTCACTGGTAAAAGGCTGTGTTTCACATACCTTGTTATACATGTAGCAATTCAAGAACATAGTTTTAAAGTCTTCAATGCATTCTGCAGCTTTTGTGTAGTAATTGTGTTCCAGACGCTTTTTTATGGTGCCTAAGTCCATAGGCTTCTTTATGATACTGTAATAATCCTATTGAAAGAATAAGTCACCAAACATATACCTTAATATTAGGACAAGGATTTTTTTACACATTTAGCTATGAAAGTTGAACTGCAAGAGAGGAGAATTACATAATGTTAGAAGCAATATTTTATGTAAAATAAAACTTTCCCCTGTAGCCACAGGTACCAAAAAAGTGGTCAGGAACTCTTCACCTTATATTTCCTCCTATTTCTTCCATATAACTATTTGAAGTCCCAAAGAATACTTACTTCAATAGGATATATTTATTTCAGAGCTGTCCTGATAGTAATACTTATGAAAAGTATATTCACTTCTCATTTGTTATCTCAAAGCCATTTGCCTGAAGTAGCAGTTCAGTTTACAGAACAGTGGAAAAAGAAGCCAAAGACAAACTTGGGGAGAGACAAAGTCTCAGTCACTAACAAAGCGAAGCTGCCAAGTTTTCACAATTGCTGTCCAAATACTTTATTGCCTGGGTTATACTGGCTCTCCTCTCAGGGTTAGTCTAGTGAACATGTGGCAATGACTGAAAGGCAGCTGGAATGTGAACTATTGTGATTATTTTTGTAGCATGGCTAAAAGCTTGTGGGTAAGAACATGAGGCTAATTCCCTGATGGTGCATTTAAGAAACTGGAACAGAAATATTCCCACTAAGTTCACATACATTTTGTAATTGTATGAAGTTACTACTACTTCAAGAGTGTTCTAAAGCTGTCCTAACAGTCTGTGTTGGTGAAGTAAAAAAGCTAAATACATGACAGTGTAGACTATTGAATTTACCAAAACAAAACCAAAGAAATTTTTTAAATAAAGTAGTTAATAATTATTGTCCATTCTGCCATTAGCAGATTCCAGTATCTAGGGGAGAGAGAGGCAAATGGGGCAAATACCTTTATTGTCCTTGCCATGGAGCCAGACATTTGCCTGTTATTGTGCAATGGTTGAACTCACACATACTCCTAGAAGTCAAGAGGCTGCCTTAGAAATCCAGAGAGGCAGAACTGGCCTGAAGCCAGCTGCAAATGTTGCTACAACTCTGATGGAATGACCCTTAATATTAACCTTAACTGACAGCTCCTTCCAAGAAGGAAAAAGGGTAAGAAAAGACACAGGAAGATAGTCACTTGGACTGTGCTTTTTTACAAAGTGACCAAGTGAGTTTGTCACAAGAAAACAGCCACAGGTAAAGGCTTTTTTGTCTGCTCCAAACAGAACAAATCATGTTGTGCAATTAGTCTTGGAAATATAAGAGAACTAAATATGAATGCGTAAGCTGGAGGAAGAGAGGAAAAAAGAAAACAGTCAAAGGAAACATATGATGGTTTTATTTAACACCTTTCTACTTCTCTACCAAGAGCAGCATCTGCCAGGTCATTGAAATACCATTGTTAACCTATGTTTTCATTCAACTGAAAAACATCCAAAACTGGAGTCTAAAGATACCTGAATTAAAACAATTTATCACAAGATGTTATACACATGCACTTTATTACAATTAAGTTTTAACAACGATAAAACCCACATGGCAATATGGAACAAGAATTTAAGCATCATATCTACTCCCTAGAAGGATGGTCTACCACTGTGGTATTATGAGAATCAAATCTGTTCTTTTCTTTCTATTTTTACAGGGACATTTCATTCCTCTAGAAACTTCAGAGCAAGATGATTTGAAATTAACAAATAACTGCAAGTGTAATGACTTCTGTGCATCAAAACGGATCCAGATTTGCCTGTTTACTTCAGAATAAATCAGTTCTGCTTTTTCATCAAAGTATTTGACATTGAGGCTGCCTCATATTAAAAATAAAAAACTCAAAGGCAAAAGAAAATACTCACCATATGCAGTGTTAATAAATATGTCTAAACCAGAAGACAAGTAATACCAACATCCAGAAACTCTAAGAGGCCTGTCCAAGCATTATTATTTTCCCTTCGAAATACAGACTTTCTAGTCTCAGTACAGAAAACATAGAAAAAATGCAACATTTCTCTAGAAAGAAAACAGTTCTCTTGTAGACTTGGATTAATGACAGCAATTCAAATGCAAAAGTAGTATTCCATAATCTGTTGCATCAGAAAAAACCTGTTTTCAACTAACATTAATTCATAAGTCCTGTAAATATTTTACTTATTAATACTCCTATTCCAAAATGGTTCTTACAGGAAGATTCAGCGCTGCTGCATCTACAGGCTGGTGAAATGGCCAGGAATAGTTGTGTCTCCACATGGCTTTCATGACCACCCTCTGTAAGTACTGGAGTTGGTTGGTTTGACAACCACTACTTTTGTTATTTAGGTATTCTGGTGGAGGAGGGTTAATAATAATGGAGTGGTGCTGACTTGGAACAGACATCTTTAGTGAGTTTGTATATCCACTTGTTCAAAGATCATTATGCGTCACACCTGAGGGGAAAAAAAAAAGACAGAAGTATTCAGTGAAGATACCTGGATTTAATGGTGCTTACATGTTCCCTTCATTTGGAGAATGTCAATACTGTGGCTACCAGCATATCTTCATGTTCTAAGCAAGGCATGTGTTTTACAAAAGTGCATATTTGGATATACTGTACCCCTAGAGTCAAGAAATACATCCTAGCTTTCTGCTAAGAAAAACAGCCTGCTTTTCATCATGCTATCAAGTATGCAATGAGTTTCAGGACAGGTCACTATAAAGCAGAAAGCTACTACTAGAATAGTATCTATGGCCCAATCTTACACCAACTGTAACATCCCATCACACATTGGAAATGACACATCTTGCCTTTTCATTTGTTCTTTATTTCAGCATTCCAAAGCATACCTCAAACAGCTCCCAAAGCTAAAGAGACATTGAAATTTCTTGGGTTAGAAGAGACCTTTTAAACATCTAGTCCAACCCTTCTACCATGGGCAGGGACCCATTCCAATAGACCTGGTGGGTCAAAGCCCCACCCACCCTAGCCTTGAATACTTCCAGGAACAGGACATCCACAGCTTCCCTGAGCAACCTGTTCCAGTGCCTCACCACCCTCTCAGTGAACAATTCCTTGTCATATCCAATATAAACCCACTCCCTTTCAGTTTAAAGCCATTCCCCCTATTCTATCACTTCCATGCCCCTCCGGTTCTCTTGTAGCCCCTTTAGGTACTGGAGGGGGCTCTAAGGTATCCCCAGAACCTTCTCATCTCCAGGCTGAACAATCCTAATTTTCCCTTCTTTTCTCTAGTTATCTCATGACTCTTCTCTGAACTTGCTCCAACAGGTTTGTCATTCCTGCACTGAGGACCCTAGAGATGGATGCAGTATTCTAGGTGGGATTTTGTGACAGTGGAATAGAGGGGCAGAATCACTTCCCCTGACCTGCTGGACACACTTCTTACTTCAGTGTAGCGATTTACAGAATGCAGATGTCTTTCATCGAACAGTAAGGTAAAAACATCAAGGTAAAAGCTCTCTTTTTTTTCTTAAATAAGGAAAACATATCAAACCTGAGTCATTCATACTAGGAACAGTTCTGGACTACCAGCCAGCATACCTACATAGGACACTACATCAGAAATAAATTCAATACAAGATCAGATTCTTTTGAGGCACACAATAAAGCAGGTATCGTAACTATTGTTATTTTTCACAGTACTGCTTTTGCAAAGATAATTGATACTTTGACTGCTCATTTGGTACTTTCCATTGGAGATGCCCATAAGAGGGAACCCAGCCAAGCTGGGCTACTGAGAACAGCCTGGCTGGCCTTGTCCCTCCAGTCCGTGCAGAGCCCTGCTTGCCCCCTGGCACAAGCCAGTGGCAAACTCACCAGGCACCTTCTGTCGATGCAGTACCACAGTTAAACATTCCCATTGCTCTCTCTCTGTGCAAGCAACATCCTTCTGTTTTCTGGAGTTTGCTGAACACATTTAGAGTTCACATAGCTTGGAAAATAGCAACACCTGCCTGATATGAAGAATAAATGCAAATGTAATTTCTGTTACTAAGTACACCATCTCAGGCTCTGCATGTCTTTTATTCAGATGGAGACACATCTGATTTCTCGAAAATTTTGTAAATTAGAACAATAGAGTCTACAAAAAAAAGCACAAACTTGGCATCAAGAGTGTCCAAGGAAACCAGGAGACTGAAGTTTTGTGTATGTAACAGAGTGTCTTAGCCCTAGACGCTTAGCTTTTAAAACCTTAACTTACGTTGTGGAAACCAACTTCCATGTCAGCAAGAGAGCTAAGACTGCATCTTCTGAAGAACAGACAAAAGTTTGTGTCTTGATCAATCCCTCCTTTACAACCTCCCTCTCCATCTCCCCTTCTCCCTAGTCACATAACACTCCTTCCTATCTTAAAATAAAACCTATGTTTGCACACTAAAGCAAAAGTGTGATCAGATTCCAGCCAGCTAAGTTGTTTGATGTTTTTCAAACCACCCCTTCCCAGCCCCATGTGTCCTTGAGCTGCTGAAGCAGGTCCCAAAGGTCAAGTAGCCTCAAAAGAGAAGCATTGAGTGTTTCCTTTAGGCCCAGTTTGAAGTTTTTAGCTATACTGATAGAGGTGTCTTCTTAGTTCAAGAATAAAAAGCAAATAGCTTACATGAATTACATTTCTCGAGAAGTCAAGGCTTTTAGCAAGATATCACATCTTGTGAGAATCAAATTTCTTTGCCTTTTTTTTTTTTAAAAAACAAAAGAAAAGGTGATTTGTTCTCACTGATAGGTCTCTAAAAGCATGCATTAGCAAGTCTTCTGAAAAGGCAGCTATTTCCTTTTGGTTTAGCTCAGCATTAATTATAACTACCAGCACAGAACCTGTATATATCATATACTGGTCAAGAACAGAAGCTCAGAAAATATTGGCATACCACAGATAGAACAAAGGCAGACAATCTACCAAACTCCACACCCAAAGAACATTTGATTCTTCAAGGCCTTTTTAACAGTTTTTTTTTATGTGATAGTCAATAATCACACTGAAGTTTTATTAAAAATATTGGAACCTCCCATAGATTGATATATTAAAACTACCCAGAACAGAGTAGTCTTCTTACTGTAAGCAGCACGATCTCTTCTTTCAGAAGGACAATTATCACCTTAAAGACATCCATAAAACAGCATCTCCTTATTTCCTGGGGTACATTGAACAAATTTTAGCTTTAAAGACAATCCATATATTAGGTGCTGAGAAATCACTGACTTAGAGTTATTACCATAACCAGCCTTGAGCAACTCAAAACCAAACTTCCACCCTCAAAGCAGACCAGTCAACTTTTTACCTTAGTTTTAAGGAAAGCCACAACTCACTTCCTCCCCCCTTGAAAGATGAAGGAAGAACAGAGCTTTAGAAGATAGACACAGAAGTCTTTATAACCTCATCCCACCCTCATTTTATTCTCTAGCAATAACAGCCACACACCTGCAACCCTGACTAAACCCTGCCCTATCAATGGTGCTCATTGGGAAGTTATCAGCATAAAACAGGAACAGCTGTTAAGGACTAAAACACAACAGAGGGTTATTTCTGCCAGACCTGCTCACTCATTAATCAATAACAAAAAGTGGAGGGATTAAAAAAGAAGAGTTGGTATCCTTAGATCAAATTTGGTTTAATTTTCCTATCTTAACTTTAAAGTCTTAAATTTAACATAATGGGAATGCTTATGTTTTACTAATTATGCTGGGTTGTACTGTGTTATATCATAAGAGCAGTACATAAATATTATGCCTGGTTAAGAGCTGGCTAGTACTCATACCTTACTTCACTATACAGATTCAGTACTTAAATTAAAACCCAAATATATTTAACAAATGCATAGTAGTGTAAAAATGAGGGCTAGGTTGTTTCCTAATAATTTTCATTTGTTGTCATTAAAACAACAAAGGAATTTACCAAGCTTATTTTGAATTTTAGCTATTGACTAAGCTTTTGTTTTTCTCAGTACGCTTTAAAAGCTTCATCCCCAGCATGCTTTAGAATAAGGTAGCTCTACAAAATGAGATTTGTATTTAATTTGTTGTTCCATTCAGGTGCATATCCCACTTTAGGATCAAAACCTGCCTGGATTCTTAACGTGCAAGTCATTAACCTGCACTCTTTTTTTATTTCCTCTTCTTTTTTTTTTAGCAAGGTGTCCTAGTGAAAGGACAAACTTCACTTGGATAAATTTGTTTTTCTGGCAAAAGTATGAAGTACTTGTATAGGATCTAAAATATCTAGGTAGATCCAGCATGTATTATTACTTCAGCAGCCCAGTGTGTTAGGAGCATATGGATGATGCTGTTAGGGGAAGCATTTGCTTGCTGCTTCCTCTGGCACCTCTACTGAGCTGCGAGTAGGTAACACAAAGTTTATTCTTTATGGGTGATAGGAAGAGGATGTTTTTAATGGGATGTAAAGAATTCCTACATTTGAAGCAGAGCAAGTAGTAGAAACCTCATTCAATAAAGCAAAGCAAGGAAGGGGAGTGGAATCCTCTGTGGATAGGTATCAGGGTTTGCTGAACTGAATGCTCTCCTCACTGAAAAATTGTTACTGAGAGGCATCAAGGTGTGTTACTATTGATGGGATTGGACAGTGAGATGGGAAGGACACCGGCAAAAACCCCAATAGTGGCAAAAGAAAACAGAAGCTGTTGTCTATTGAGCAGACTTGTTTGCTCTCTTATTCTGCTTTCTGCCCTTAGCTTCCAGACTGTAACTGCTCAATCCCCCTCTGAATCTGCTGGTGTCTTGTAAACTTTAAGTCAGTTGGATCTGGTAGGCTGTGCTGTGCATAGGGAAACACTGTGTTTCAAAACTATACTGGTTTGGTCTGTAAATACTTAGAAAATCAAGGTTTAATGAAATCACTACCTTTGGGTAACTGATATTAAAATAAGCTGAAAAATAATGTACTACTGTAATTTTTGATTAATTTAAATACTGTGTGGAAAAAGGCAACTTTGAAAACTATTGCAGTGTTCATTGCTGGCTCCCCAGTCACAGCACTTGCTACCTGGTCTGAGTCTGGCTGGCTGTGACCTGTAGGCAGGCAGCTGCCAACAATACTTTTGGCAGTTCTCCCAAAGGTGATAATTAGGTGGAGGGCGGAAGAGAACAACAACATAGTGGGAAGAGGTGGTCACCTTTGTGCTTTTGTCCTCATCCAGTGTCTGCTATTTCCAAGACCGTCCTAGTGCCATCCACTTACAGATTAGAATGACATTCCTGACACGCTTCAGAAAATGGATTTTTACAAGTCTGATAGGATGGCTAAGATGGAGTGGTTATTTCAGTGCAGACTTGTTGACAGTTCTCTCTTCCTGCAGTGGGTTAGACTGCATCTTCTGAAGACACTTCATTCTGTACAGAGTTTTAATCACTTCTGTCTGGGAGACTGTAAGACAATGTACAAGGTAGTAGCCTGAGACTTCATTAATATGGTGAATCTCAGGGAAATAGATGATATTATTATATTTGAAATGATTCGTCTATTTGGAATGTGAAAGCAAGTATCACTGATCATTCTTAAATGTCTACTAAGGCAGAAAATCTGAGTGGGATTTGATCTACTGAACAAAAGCATTTGAAGGTCCCGTGGGTAGAAGGTAAATTTTTAAATGCTTGCTAAGAAGATGTGAAATAATGAAGAGTCTACTTCTTTTCATCTTTAAATTTATATCTTCCTACAGGGCATGTTTATCCCTTGCCATGGTTTTTGTTAGCTGAGGTTTGCAAATTTTATACTTCCTGGTGAAAATTTCTCTTACAGAGAGCCATTTATTCCTGAATCATGATGAACTCTTCCTGATTATAAACATCTATGTAAAAATTGGCTGGTGCTGATAAACACTACCACTTACAGACTGGGTCAGTGTTGACAGCTGAGGCTCAGCAACTAAAAGCTCGTATTCTAAAAAGGCACCTAGTTTGAGCTAACAAGGAGGGATATGTTTTTTTTTTTTTTTTAACTCTGATTGGAAGAAATTCACTGACTTTAATCTCGTATGTCCAATATCCCTTTTAAAATGTTTAAGCTATATCCTAAGGATAGCTGAATTTTCATAGCTGTTGTACTTTTCCAAAAATGTTTGGATAATTCCCTGGAGACAGTAAACTGGTAAGAGTGCTGTTGCAGTTACTCCCATAGCAGTTCTCTGCACTGTGCCACCTTACATCTGTTCTGAGTAGAATTTCATGACACGGTACATGAGCTAACTAGTGTTTACTTCCTCTTATTAGTTTAAAAACAACTCTCAAGGTGCTGCTGCACTGTTGCCTTTCAGCAGTATTGTCTTCTCTGTGTTTGGAACAGAACACTGAACAAAGGGAAATACTTTGCAGAATTGTACAGACTGTATTCTTTAAATCAGATCTTAGGGAGAAATGGGGATAAGTGAAGCAAGATCATCAAATTCCTGACACTTTTTTTCTTCTCCTCTGCTCTACATTTGCCTTTTAGCACCTTCTAGGTTTAATCATGTATGGAAAGTACTATCCTAGATAGTAGTGCAATTTGATATGATATGTTAATAATTCACATTCATATGTGCTTACTTTGTGGTTTTGGCTGCTGCTTTGACACTCCTACATCAGCCTCACAACACATGAAACACAAACAATTTATTTTAATTTATAGAAGTTGAATGGTATTTCCCAAAAGTATTCACAGCATGTTAATTTTGTTCTCCCTAACTATGCAGGTAACAGATACTTCAAAAAACACTGGAAACAAAGTAATGGGAACTGAAGCTCAAAATGTGATTGCAGGAGTCGGCTCTGCATCACAGTAAGACATAGAAACCGAAGTTGATGACTGCTGCTTTAATGTCTAGGCCAGATTTGGCTCTCAAATAGCCCTGTAAATTTGGAATAATCCTACTAACTTCAACAGACTTGCCTTAGGTTTTCATCCAGGTAAATGACAGCAAAGTGTCATTTCCCCATGCTCTTCGTTTAACTCATTGTACCATTTTCCCAGGTATTTATAACTTTGTTCATCTGCGACTCTATGGCAGAATACCCATAAAAATTGTAAAGGCAGCTCTTTGGCACGTACAGGAAATGACAGTGAAAAAATTCAACCATCCCAGAAAGCTGCACCATTCCAACTTGCTTTCTCACCCATTATATTGGTTTCACTTGCTAGAGAAATCTCACACCTCATTAACTCAGCTTTCAGCTTATGTCCAGCTGAGGGACTATTGCAGAATGATCCCTGACTGGGAACATACTACATCCTCAACTGATGGAGCTGGCAACTACCTGTTTCTTTCCCTGAAAATTAATTTCTAAAGTCTTTCATTACAGTTGAGTCAATTAATTCTGACATTCAGCCAGTGAGGTGCTCCCTCTACCCCTGCTGTGGCCCTCCTGGCCTCTGCCAGCCTGTGCATAAGCAGCTTCCTCTGCCCTGCTCTCCCTTCTGGCAATTCAGCTTCTCACCTCAAACAAACATGTCCCTCCAGCTGCTTTGCTCCTGCCTGGCCTTACTGTTCATTGCATTGGTCAGGGACATCTGCTTACTCCTTGGATCTTTTAAGTTTTTTCTTTACCCATATTCCCTTATTAATTAGCTCCTCAAAATAATTTCTGTCTGGTCAGGTCTTAAGTTTTGATGGCCAGCTTGCTGTTGTGCTTGCAGAGATCACATCTGGATGTGGATGTGGGGGGCTGCTCTGCTTTGAAGGGGAGGTGTCCTGTGAAGCACTCATTCTGAGCAGGAAAAGAAGCCCTCAGTCACTAGGCTTCTCTACATGGAATTTGAATGCATTATTCTGAAGAGTCCAAGTATATATCAGTTCTTTGTCCCATCCTGTGACCTTTGGCCATACAGAGAGAAGGCAAAAAAATTACAGAATCCTCTGGTGTGGAAAAAGGAGCTCTTTTCATCATGTGTAAAATTAGCAGAATGAAATGCTCAGCGTGCTTTTCACAACCAAAGATTTAAATAGCTTGCCAAGGGAAAATGACTGGGTTGTTCAGTATATTTTTGGTCTTCCCAGGATGTTGATACTCAGTATCAGCACTAAATTTGTGGTTATTAGAAGCAACTAGGATAAAAAGAACAGAAACAAAGCAGTGTATTAAATCTGAATTTCACCTTTTTATTTTCCTTCATGAGATGCCCTCTTTGCATATGTCAGAAAATTACCTGTTCTCTTCTAGGAGGTCCTCTAATGTTTGCCTAAAGCAACAGTACATGATAAAATACTATATATTTAGCCATAAATTAGGGATCTAATTTCTGTTATATAAAATATGTTAAAACACATGATTTATAGTAGTTTGAACAGAATCTGTGGTAGTAATTTTCAAGTGCAGTTATGGTGTGGCTGTGCTGCCATCATATGATTATATCCAGAGAATCTGTGTGGCACTTGGATTGTATTGAAAGGTTTGGATGCTTCCCACACTGTCAATCCCCTTTTTATGCTGTGGAAGAAAGAGAAGGTGGAAAAGATGCATCCACAGCCTTACCCGCTTACTGAATTGATTTTATTGAAGTAAGGTTCTTACAGTTGTTTGAGTCTCCAAGAAAAGAATGTATTTCTGATTTAGTAGTGGTTTATTTCAGCGTAATTTGAATTTTTAAACCTCTTCAGTGGTGGCTTTGTGCAAGCTGGGTTGGCTCTACATTGCAGCTGGTTAGAAGTATGTACATGTTATTAATTACTGTGCTTCAGCTGAAACCTAAGAACTTCTTGAACTGCTCTAACGCAGTTGCAAGCTGTTATGTATTCATACCCTTCATTATTTAAGCTAACTCAAAGCAGATCTGACTAAAACGAATTTCAGCACAATTGCCTGCATGAATAAAATTGCCTCAAAGTTATGCTTGAAATGCAAAACTTGAGGTGGTGATTGAGGAGTTACATCCCCTAGCTGTGTGCCTGATCTTTCTATGAGAGATTATACCCTCACAGCAGAATTGCATAAGTTTATACTTTTATGCTCTTTCCAATCCCAGATCATTCATTCACCAGGTACCACTTGGAGATCCTTAACAAAATACCTTCCTGTGTGTTTCCTGATTGTGTCCAGTGTCCTACTCTGTTGCAACCTTCTACCAGTAGATGTCAGCTCAGAACTGGTGAAAGTTTATTCTGCTTATTTCCGTAATAAGAATTAGTGGTTCTGTGACTTTGGCCTTGACTTTTAATATCAAATTGCTTGCTGAGAACATCACTATTCACACATTCAGTGTGACCAGTGTGACATTTGTACACTTAGTGATGTTTGTAAAGAGAGAATTCAGACTGAATTCA